GGGGGGGGGAGGTCAGGGGTTAATTTGGGTAATTCTTGGACACACACTTTAACATTATTACCAAATGCTTTATTTAGATTCGTTTTACACTGTGTACACAGCTCTTCTTGTCAGTGACTGTTATCCTCGTCCCTCCAAATAGAAGAGGAAGGCTATAAGGGTCGCACAGGTGTCAGCTGATCCAGTCATGGCTCCTATGTGCTCCCTATTAAGTCCGGGCATTAGGCTCCTACTAAGTTAGAACTGTGAGCAGCTCCGCTCTGCCCGGAGCTCCTTTAAGGGATGATGGTGATGCACAAAGTGCCGCGACCCATTAGAAAGCAATCACCTTTCACTGTTCCAGCTGCTCTGAATCAGTGTTACGGCTACATGGTGGCTCCCACATCCATCTGGAGAGGAAGAGTAAGGGCGGCTCCGTGTAGGATTCCTCCTTCCCTTGCCATATGCATGGAGCCTTTCCTTCATGAAACCTGTGCCAAGAACCCTGGTGCCCACCTTGCAGCCCAAAAGCCTCCAGTACTTGTTCCAAACCAGAGCAGTCAGTAGTAAAAGCATTCATTTGTAAAGAGGCTATAATGACCTCTTGGGGTCATCAGTGACCTCTAGAAGTCCTCTAGAAGTGACCTCCAGCAGATAGCTAGCAAGTCCCCAGTGTCGTACCATCTCCTGTATTGTGCCTTCCAACCACCCCTGTTGCAGGACTGCACTCTCGTATGTCTGAAGTCTCTGACAGCCTTCTGTCATATACAGAATATTATGTTTGGCAATGTGGAGCTTTTAGGGGCCAAAGTTGAGGCCTCCTAAACCTTGCAAGTTGGCAACCACTGTCCTGAACCAAAGACAGGCAAGAATATCCTTACTACACATATAACTGCTGTACTGGCCAGACTTCAGCCTGTTGGGAGACAATCACGTGTTTCTTGACCAATAAAAGTAGATAAGCCAAAGCCAACCCATTTTGGGGAGCCACCTCCTTCTTCAGGGTTCAGGAGAGGTCCCGATGAAGGTCTTGATGTTCCTGTCAAGTTATTGTGGCAAATCAGCCACAATAACCTGATGGGAACATCGGAAACTTTCTCTCCCAAGCCCTGAAATAAGGGGTGCCCTTCAAACGTGCCCAAAATGGGTTGCCTATGGCTTATGGACTTTTATTGGCCAAGAAACACATGATTGTTTCCCAACCAGCTGAAGTCTGGCCAGTACAGCAGTTATACGTGTAGTAAGGATATTCTTGCCTGTCTTTGGTTTCTAAGTCTTTTACTCATGGTGCTCCTACATATAACTCTACAATCATCTACAGGGTTTCTCCTACATCTACCTCTACATCTACCTACATCTACCTACCTACTTCTCCTACATCTACCTCTACATCTACCTACCTACTTCTCCTACATCTACCTCTACAACCATCTACAGGGTTTCTCCTACATCTACCTCTACAACCATCTACAGGGTTTCTCCTACATCTACCTCTACAACCATCTAAAGGGTTTCTCCTACATCTACCTCTACAACCATCTACAGGGTTTCTCCCACATCTACAACCATCTATTCTACAGGGTTTCTCCCACATCTACCTCTACAACCATCTACAGGGTTTCTCCCACATCTACAACCATCTATTCTACAGGGTTTCTCCTACATCTACCTCTACAACCATCTACAGGGTTTCTCCTACATCTACCTCTACAACCATCTACAGGGTTTCTCCCACATCTACCTCTACAACCATCTATTCTACAGGGTTTCTCCTACATCTACCTCTACAACCATCTACAGGGTTTCTCC